ACTGTAGCCTTGTAGTATAGTTTGAAGTCAGATAGTGTGATGCCTCCAGCTTTGTTCTTTTGGCTTAGGATTGTCTTGGCAATGCAGGGTCTTTTTTGGTTCCATATGAACTTTAAAGCAGTTTTTTTCAATTCTGTGAAGAAGGTCATTGGTAGCTTAATGGGGATGGCATTGAATCTATAAATTACCTTGGGCAGTATGGCCATTTTCACAATATTGATTCTTCCTATGCATGAGCATTGTATGTTCCTCCATTTGTTTGTGTCCTCTTTGACTTCACTGAGCAGTGGTTTGGAGTTGTCCTTGAAGAGGTCCTTTACATCCCTTGTAAGTTGGATTCCTAGGTATTTTATTCTCTTTGAAGCTATTGTGAATGGGAGTTCATTCATGATTTGGCTCTCTGTTTGTCTGTTACTGGTGTATAAGAATGCTTGTGATTTTTGCACATTTATTTTGTATCCTGAGATTTTGCTGAAGTTGCTTATCAGCTTAAGGAGATTTTGGGCTGAGAAAATGGGGTTTTCTAAATATACAATCATGTCATCTGCAAACAGGGACAATTTGATTTCTTCTTTTCCTAACTGAATACCCTTTATTTCTTTCTCTTGCCTGATTGCCCTACCAGAACTTCCAACACTATGTTGAATAGGAGTGGTGAGGGAGGGAATCCCTGTCTTGTGCCAGTTTTCAAAGGGAATGCTTCCAGTTTCTGCCCATTCAGTATGATATTGGCTGTGGGTTTGTCATAAATAGCTCTTATTATTTTGAGATACGTTCCATCAATACCGAACTTATTGAGAGTTTTTAGCGTGAAGGGTTGTTGAATTTTGTCGAAGGCCTTTTCTGCATCTATTGAGATAATCATGTGGTTTTTTGTCTCTGGTTCTGTTTATATGCTGGATTATGTTTATTGATTTGCATATGTTGAATCAGCCTTGCATCCCAGGGATGGAGCCCACTTGATCAATCACCTTAACCAAAGATGTAATGTATTCTACAATATATAAAGCGCTGTGTCCCAAATTTTCAGTCATTGTAACACTCTAGCTAGAGAAATTACTACTGTAGTGGAAAATTGAGTTTCAGCTCTACACCACTTCTGCCTGCTGTGGGGATCTTGTCCAAAACAAGTGGCCCTGGTGAGTCTGTCAATTAGTATATCTACTGCTTTGTTCCCAGGAGTGAGCATGTGATCTCAGGTGGACCAATTATAACAGCCTATCATTCTTGGAGCAGTAATAGGCTTAGAAATGAGCATTAAAAATATCAACCTGATGTTGGATGAGAGAATTATCCTTTTTTAAAAAATAAAAATCCTCCTGAATTGGCTGAGCTGGAAGAATGTGACTCTAGGTCAATTAGAAGTAGTTTTTCCTACCAAATGATGAGAGTTTGCTTGAATAAGAATGTGAGTATTTGGAGAGAGGCAGAAAGTTGAGATGGGAAAAGAGACTTATGACGTTCTAGATCTAATTGCATTGACTACTGAACTTCCAGCAATGTGAAGTTCCTGAATTTGTTTTTTAAGTGATCGTGAATTGAATTGACAAACAACTTGAATTGAATTACACACACACACAAAATCTTGGCTAATGCAATTATTTCCTTCATTTTCCGGATGAGTAAATTGAAGCCCAGAAAGGCTAAGTAACTTAAACTATTTCGTAAGTAAGTCAGACTCAAACTCATGTCCTAACACTCTAAAACCTTTATTCTTTATATCATGCTTTCATTCCTCAGCATCTACTAAAGAAGTCTGGTATTCAGGAAAAACATGACCTAAGAAATAGATCAAATATGGCTGAGAATGATCTTACACAAAATACAAAGTTAGCTGAATTGCTTTTGATCCAAATTTATGGGGGTCTTTGCAAAATTACAAGGGTCTAAGGTGTCAAACATTAAAAAATAACAGGCTAAGTACTTAAAATGAGAATTTAAATTTTATGTTATACAAAAACAAGCACATTTTGTTCCATAGTCCTTCAGAATTTTAAGTAAGTTTTATTAAATTATGGGCAGCAGACACAAACCAATAATGCACAAATCTACCCATGCTCTTCTCTGTAGGCTAGCAGAGATATCCTGTTGCAAGTTAACATTTTACAAATGGCAGGCCCTCATAACCTACCCTTAAATTGGCGGGCTAGTTTGAATGACTAAAACGTGTGTATGTGGAATTTTTCAATCAGACAAAGTGATGTAAAGAGAAAATGAAGTTCTCTTTACCATCTGCAGTTTACCTTTACTATAGTGACAAATTAAAACTTGTTTCTTCAGGGCCCCATTATACTTGGAAGTGTTCTTTGATTTTCCTTTTTTTCTCCTAATCTACCTCTGTTCTTCTTTGACAGAATACTTTCCTATGAGAAAGAATCTGAAGAGCATAATGTTTAACTCTTGTACATTTAAGGAAGTATTAAAGGAAATAAATACAGGAGAAAAGTGAACTGCTAAACATGCCTGAATACATCCTGTCATTAATGTCTGGATTTTGTTTTTTTACTTTTAATACATATGTTAAAATCTTTAATGTAATAATTAATGTATAAAAATCACAATAACATTTATATAAGTTATATAAGGCATATCTGTGACTCCATCACTGATCTTTATTCAGTCAGCCCTTTTAGGAATGTAATTGTCCCCAAGCCCAGCCTGTGCCTCCGCTCTAAGTGGTAACTAACTCTTCTCTTGAATTTTATGCTTGCAATTCTCTTAAAATTTTAGAAGTTTAGTTCTTTTTAATTAATGTTTCTCTAACAATAACATTGTATACTTTTGCTTGATTTTGAACATTCTATTTGTATCATGCTGTATGTCATCTTCTGTGACTTATTTCATTCCACATTATGTTTCCAAAATGTATTTCTATGCTTGTGAGTAGCTTTAGTTCATTCATTTTTAGGTTGTGTAATATTCCACTGTATAATTATTCTGTACTGTAATTCATTTAGTCACTCTCCTGTTGTTGGAAATTGGAAAGTTTTTTCTTTTTTTTTTTCAATTTTTGCTGATACAAAGGATACTGTGATACATGTTCTATTCATTTCTCTTGGTATACATGTCCAACAATTGTTCTAGTTTCTAGGGTACCTAAGAGTGGAATTGCTTGGTCTTTGCATGTAAACTATTTAACTAAATAGGAAGGTGTCAAACTGTTTTCCAAAGTGATTAAAGTGATTTATGTTCCCATCAGACGTTTATGAATATCCATTGATTCAAATCTTTACCAATGTTTGGCAATGTCAGACTTCTGTATTTTTGTACATTTAGTCTTTCACAGGTGTACTCTCTTCCTGATGTCTATTCTGTTCTGGTCAATAAAGTTGACTCTGTGTCTATACCACACAGTATTAATTATGCTGCCTTTGACTTTTTTTTTTTTTGACAGAGTCTTGCTCTGTGGCCCAGGCTAGAGTGCAGTGGTGTGATCTCGACTCACTGCAACCTCCACCCCCTGGGTTCAAGTGATTCTCATGCCTCAGCCTCCTGAGTAGATGGGACTACAGGCCCACGTCACCATTCCAGGCTAATTTTTTTTTTGCATTTTAGTAGAGATGCGGTTACAACATGTTGTCTATGCTGGTCTTGAACTCCTGAGCTCAGGCAATCCACTCACTCAGCCTCCCAAAGTGCTAGGATTACAGGCATGAGCCACCGCTCTTGGCTGACTTTTTATGTAAGTTATCTTAACAACAAATTATCAGTGTTCTCAAAATACACTATTGGGTTTTTGCTTTTCAAAAGAGGCCAATGCCACCTCAATCATAGCTTTCAAACCTCCTAGCTCAAGGTTCAATATCCTTTTCCTGGAGTCAGACAGTTGGCCCTGCCAGATTGCTGTGTACTATCTCAGAGTATGATAGGACAATATTGGAGGTCCCAGATGTCTGTTCCTTCTGTCTCCAAGAGGCATCGTGGTCAACACCGTGTTGGCAGGTCAAAACATGTGCTGCTTGGCCCTTTGCCCTTTTATGCATGATCCTGTAAATATCTGTAAGCCACCAGTTACTGATCTACTCTTCCAATTATGAGCACCCAGGTTACCTCCAGTTGCTGGACACTACAAACCACCCCATCAGTTACTGATCTACTCTCCCAATTATGAGCACCCAGGTTACCTCCAGTTGCTGGACACTACAAACCACTCCATCAGTTACTGATCTACTCTCCCAATTATGAGCACCCAGGTTACCTCCAGTTGCTGGACACTACAAACCACCCCGTCATCTTTGTGCATATATGCTTACAAACCTGTGTGAGGATTTATCTGAGATCTATGCCCAGGAATGAAATGGCTGGGTCATAGGTTATGTAGATACTTTATCTGCTTAAATAAGAACAGCAGCACCAATGTACACTTTCACATTACTCAATATCTTTACCTATGTTTCTCTGCATGTACAGGTATAATGTCTGGGAAATTACAGTTTTGGCCTTACTCACACAACCCTCCTGAAAATAATTTCTCAACTCTAGTCCCCATACACCGTGAAAAGGGCCTTTCCTCATGACAATGTGGACTTGTGCTTCTTTGTACCACCAGGTCCCTGTCTATCTTTCTGCCTCCTCCCTATGCATGAAGCACCTCGTCCTCAAATTTGGGGAGATCTTGTCCAATTTAAAAATTCTACTACTCAATCATACTAAAATAGAAAGGTATGGTTGATTTTGATGAGTATGAATATCTGGGGTGGGAAGAAGAGACGAACTTTTTTTTTTTTTTTTTAGATGGTAAAAACAACTAAATAGAACACTAAGAAATGTGAGCAAGAACTAGACTGGTGCCAAAATTGTTCTTCGCTCTGATCCCTCCATTTAACAGAACTGTAAAGCCCTTCCCAGTCTCTCTTCAGTTGGCAGGTTCTACGGGATTCCATTGGCTGTAGCACCTCATCATCTGCTGTAGGCTCCATGACTCATCTCCAGTCTGCCATCTTGTGGTCCTTCCTGTTGCTGCATTCATACTGGTTTACCCAGAGATTAACAGTGGATTTAGACGCCACATAGCTTGCATCACTGCTCACGTCTCCGTGTAACTCACAATAAAGAGACTTTGGCATCAACTGTGAGCTTAGGGGTAGAAGAAGGGTATATGTTAGGAGGTGGGAGCGGAATCAATTCTTCAAAGCTTAAGGATGTAAGTCATAAAGACGTTTCCTCGAGCCACTGTTGATTCATTGTTAGTGATTCATTATTGCGTTTTCTGCAACACTAAGAAACCATTGTTTCTACTAACTTTATAAAAAACATACAAGCAAAGAACGAGTGAAAATGCAGATTTTTTTTGATGAACTATATATACCTTCCTGGAAAATTTGAAGACAGAGACTGTTTTACTATGTTCATTTTTGCCCCTACAGTTTCTAGCATAGTCTTGGCACCTTGTAAATATTCAAAAAATGTTTGTTGAATGAGTGAATGAATTGATTCTCCTACCAGTCTGAGCTATCAGTTATGTCTCTGTGGCTAGATGGACACCGTGTCTTCCATCCCTGCCAAGAGTTCAACTGAATTCAAGTTTATAAATGGAAATGTGTGTGTATGAAGGAATTAAAACAATTCAGAAAATACAAAGTTTTAAAAACTACCTTTCCTAGACATAATTATTGTTAATCATGAGGTATTTATCTTTCTAGACCTTTTCAATATTTCTATGTATTTACATATATAAATATACAAATGTATACACACATGTAGATTTATTAAAATGTAAAAGGGTGTTCTTTGGGAAATATTTCTTGAATTCCTTATTTTTCTTACAATTAATATGTGTAGGAGATGATTCCATGTCCATATGTAGAAGTCTATAGCATTCTATTTAGCAGGTGCATAGCATTTCATAGAATAAATGTTTCATAATGTTAAAATCATTTTCCCTTTAGTGGAAATCTTTGTTCTTACAAACAGTGTTTTCCTGTACAATTCTTGGCCATGAAACTTGGTGCACAAATGTGTCTTTCTATAGGTCAGAGTCCAAGAAGTGGGGTTGTTGGTCAAAGTATATATTGTGTTTAAAATTTTTCACGAATACTCCTAAATTTATTATGAATTGATACAAAGGCTTTGTCTCATGAGTTAAGATTAATAAGAAATACTGAAATCAGTGTTTTTGTTTTAATTTTTAGGGATGTGTTTGATATGATCCTAAATAATGTGGCTGACTGAACTTCCTGCTGCCTAATCATTTGTATATCTTCTAGATACTTCTATATATGCTGGCTTAAAAAACTGGCACAGAGAAGCATCACTGGGCGTGGTTTTTCTTTTTCTCTTTTCTCCTATGGGGAATTCTAAGCAGCAGGTAGGGCCCTGGAGCACTGTGTTTGAGCTCTGAGGGTGGTCCTTCTATGGATTCAATTGGTTCACAAAAGAAAATTTTTGCAGTATCAATATTTGATATATGTTTGACTTCATATTATTACATGACATTTCTTTTTGTCATGAAAAAATGATACTTATTTATTATAGAAAATATTTAAAATGCATTAAAGTATTAAAAATATAGAAATAAACTATAGTCTCATAAACCAGAGATAACTAACCTTAACATTTTGGTTTATATCCTACTAGATGTATACTGTTTTTAAACAAAATTGGGATGACACTGTATTACCATTTTATAACCTGATTTTTTCTCTCTACCTAAAAATATATTACAAACTTTCTACTATATTAATATGGCATCATTTCAATGATTGGTTTAGAGAAAGCATAGCCATGTGACATTTTGAGCTGACTCAGAATTTACAACTAGATCTCTGATGCTTCAAACTCATTTAAACACACATGATCTAAGGCAGAGAAATCCTACTTGTATGTTTGTATGTTCTCTGTCACTAATTAGAATAGCTATATCTTTCTGAGTAGTTATTACATACTAAATGTTTTGCAAAGCACATGACATTATTTCTAATTCTCAAAACTACCTTCAGAAGTAGGTATTATTAAAATTTTGCAGAAGAGGAAACTGAGATTCAAAGAGATTCAGCAAATTGCTCAATGACGCACAGTGAGCAATGATAGGGTTTAAATTAGAATCCAGGTCTATCTGCTTGTAAAACTGTTGCTTTTTAAAATTCTAACTACTGTTTTGAGCCACGTAATATTTTCAAGTGTGACTTCTGTTCTAAAAGTCGCTGTCTAATATTAACGTCATAATTGAGTTGAAAGTAATTTCTGAAAGGAATTAAGACGCGTTATTTATTTTTTTTAGCTACTTAAAAAAGTTAAAGCACAAGTGTTTATTTTCTTTTCATTGACGAAAACAACCCTTTGCTTGGGAATGGGCAGAGAGCTTCCTTAACAATTGAAACTAGAGCGCCATCTGTTGACTGTAGAGTTCTAGGCATTTAATACAAGAAAATTACAAATTTGATCATCACTATTTCTTTCCTCAACAAAGAAAATGCCCTCAGTTGCTGGGCGCGGTGGTTCACTCCTGTAATCTCAGCACCCTGGGAGGCTGAGGCGGATGGGTCACTTGTGGTCAGGAGTTCGATACCCGGCTGGCCAAGAGTTCGATACCAGGCTGGCCAACATGGCGGTGTATTCCATCTCTACTAAAAATACAAAAATTATCCACGCGCTGTGCCGCACACCTGGAATCTCAGCTTCTAGGGAGCCTGAGGAAGGAGAATCGCCTGAACCCAGGAGGCGAGGTTGCGGTGAGCCGAGATCGCTCCTGCATTCCAGTCTGGGCGACAGAGCAAGACTCCATCTCGAAAAGAAAAAAAGAAGAGAGCCCTCAGCAGCAATCTTGGATGAAATGTCATTAGTCCTGACTTTAAAGATCAATTTATAATTGATTTAAATTTCATTTAGATGAAATTTATAAAACATAAAATCAACCATTTTAAGGTGGACAATTCAGTGTAACATCACCTACTTCTATTTAGTTCCAAAACATTTCCATCACCCCGAAGTAAAGTCCATTACCCGTCAAGCATTTTTTCTTGTTACTCCCTCCTCCACAGCCCTGACCACTGTCAATCTGCGTTCCGTTTCTATAAATTTATCTATTCTGGATACAGTATTTCACATACATGGAATCATACAATACGTAATGTTTTGTGTTTCGCTTCTTTCATTCAACATGTTTTGTAGATACAGCTACATCATAGCGTGTTATCAGTACTTAATTTCTTTTTATGGTTGAATATTATTCTATTTTGTAGATACATACACAATAGAATAGATATCCACAGTCGGTTTATCTATTCATCTGTTGATGAAGATTAAGGCTGTTTCTACCTTTTGGCAATTGTGAATTGTGCCGCTGTGAGCATGAGTTACATGTACCTATTTGAGTGCCTGTTTTAATTCTTTGAGTAAATATCTAGGAATGGAATTGCATTAGCCTTGATTTTAAAATGAAAATGTGGATGAGAAATACATGTGACTATATAGACTCAAAGATATTTGATGCAAAGTAAAATAATTATTTCAACAGCAGGAAAAAAAAATTAGTAATGAATCTAAGGATGAACATTTTCTTACGCTTATCCACCACAGTGAGAAAGAAATATTGAAAGGTCTGCCTGGTTTGAAAAACTCACTTAACCTCAGCAGCCCTCAAATAAGTTATCTTTATAATGAGGACAATGCAACTTACCTCATAGATTTGTCCTGAGGATTAAAGTAGAAAACACAATGCTTTGCACAGTGCCAACACATGTCAATTTCCTTGTCCTTTCTTTCTGCCATGACTTTTGATTCCATTTACCTGGAATTTCAGAACGGTGTGCACTTTCCACAGCAAAAGCAGTCTCTGAGTAATGAGAGGGGAGTTGAATGGAGTGTTGATCCATGCAGTTGCTTAGCATGATAGCGATGTTGTTTATCTTCCCCTCTGTGGCTGTTTGTGTCAATGTACATGAAATTTAGTTTTTCTCTTCTAGAGAGAACTTACTATATTTCTGTTTTAAGAGAAGTTTATCACTCTGAAAATGATCTCAGAAGGGCTTGTGAGATGTTTGACAGAAACTGTATTTTAAAACATTTTGTCTTTTGTCTAGCAAACATGCTGATTCTTGTTTTTCAAAATGTAATGCTCATGCAAAGGAAAGGCAAAAGTATATCCAAGGTGTTATTAACTTTCAGGTATTCCTCTGAAGCTTGCTGAATTGCAAAATCTGCGTGCCCAAGAGAAACCACAGCTTTACAACCTTGCAAAGATAGTCTGAATCTTAGTTTTGAGGAAATTTTAATTGTAAACGACTGAGGGAAATGCTTATCTGTGACTGGCTTGGCTTGGTTAGCACATTTATTTCCAAAATAAAATTAATTTCAGGGTTTCAAAAAATCTCTGTCTCTCTGCCTGTCTCTTTCTCTCTGTTTGTCTCTTTGTGTGTGTTTATGTTTTCAAGATGAAGGCCTTTATAGGAGGCAAAAGAGAAAAGCTAAGCCAATCTTAGAGAGAAATAAAGAAATATCTATAGTAGGATGTACAGCATACAAAATCAATGCAATTTGATGCACTTTTCTCCAGAAGGGCAGGACAAGAGACAAGTAACTGCCCCCAGGGACTCACTCAGCCTTGACATATGCTTGAACACACAGATTTCACGTTGAACACTAGCTGTTGTACATTTAGTTAATGCTAGATGCTACATTCTTTATCTTCTTCTGCCAGGACACCATCTTGTCTAGTGAATAATATTATTCCCAATTTATAGACGAGAAGACTTGGACTTAGAGAGATAACTAACATGTTCCAAGTTTGCATTCTACGGTGGAAGAGCTGGGATTTTTATCTAGGTCATTGTAACTTCACACTTAACTTCTATGTTTTCTCTCTCTCTCTCTCTCTCTCTCTCTCTCTCTCTCTCTCTCTCTCTCTCTCTCTCTGTCCTAGGGTGAAGAAGAGTGCTCACCAGATTCCCTTCTGGTCTGGAAAAAGAAATTCCTTCTTTTGTGGATGTCATCTCTACCATCTCTTGGTAAAACATTTTTCAAGTGACTCCTAAGATGGAGAGAGCATTGGAAGTCAACTGGCCCATTTCCCTCATGCAACTCAAAGCTTCTTTGTAAGGTAGGTCGCCATTTACTTTTATAAGGCCAACTTTGGGGAGTTTACTACTTTATAAAGCAATCTATCCAATATTTACAGCCACAATTGTGAAGAAATATTTGATACAACCCTTTGAATGACCAGTTTTGCCTAGTAAAACCTTAAAATTATTTTTTAGTTATCTCATTTATTAAATTGTTCCTTTGTTCGTTCACTCAAAAATATTAATTAAGCCAGGCTTGGTCTTTTTTAGCTTTGAAATTACAGTCCTAGATGGTTGTGAATACATATTTTATTCTACAAACCCTGTTGCTTCTAGTTCATATGGAATTTGCAGGTAACTAAAACTCTTTTTTCCCCAAGAACTGTTGCTTGGTCAGATCTGTTCTATTTAACCTTCAGTTAAACTTTTCCCTTAAACTGAAGCATTGAGTTGTTCAGTTTCGACTCTTCTGCCAACTTTTTGAATGCTGATTAATACCTAAGAAGGTACTGTAGTTTTCTGGTGTCTGCAAGATTGGTATACATGCTGTCTGTCTCTTCATTTATGTGTTCATGAAACATACTAGATAGAAGAGGGTAAAGTTCAGAATGCTGAGGTTCTGTAGTACAGATCTCTCCAATGTTTTTACACCTAATATATTACTTAACATTTTGTGGAGTGGATTTACTCAAAGAAATGAATCCAACAGCCTATGTGCCTTAATTTTGCTTAAAACTATTCATGAGAAGTGGTTAAAAACCTTGCTAAGTTCCTATGAAAGAAGCTTGACCTCCTGGTGTAATTGTCTCAAGTCTGCCTTGTTTGGCCGAGGACCCAGCCTTTAGGCATAATCCCAGAAGATAGGGTCAAGTTCAGAGGCTTATAGGAACAATATCAAGAGAGATACAAACAACTCTCATAAAAGTAGAAATGAAGGCCATCTTGTATTACTTTATTTTTGTTTAATCTTTACTGGCTGTAATTATCTACCATCTCATGTTTGGGATAGTCACAGCATATTTTAAGTATAATCTTCTAGAATTGTTCTTGGAATAAATTACTTTCCCTAGGGCAAGCTGTGCCATTATTTTTCTTCTCCCTCTGTGCAGCTCCATGATCTTCAATTGTCACTTGGGTTAACACAGTCACTCATAAAATGTCAGGCTCCTAGAGGCTAATTCCTCTACGTCAGAAACTTGGGACATGTTTTGAAGTACTCACTGCTTCCTATTATCTTAGTTAAATAATCAATTTAGAATGTACTCTTTTTCAGTTTCAGTAAGTATGATTTGCATTTATTTATGGGAGTCAAGCAATACTGTTTAATCTCTATCATTTTTTTGCAAGTAAGAGGAACTCTTTCTTTTATTTTTTAGAAAAATACTCCCAGAAGTTTGTTTGCCTTATGAAGATCAGGTCTTGAGAGACCCAGTCTGGCTCTTCCCTGTACAAAACATTCCTCACAAACAGAATATGGACAATTGCTAAATGTCAAAGGTAAAGTTATTGTGGGAACTCCTTCAAAAAGTTCAAGTGAGAGCTCATTCTATGAGGGACCATTTACACCTAATGTTTTTGTGTGTGCTATGTTACTTATTCTGAAGTGGTTGATCCAATTACTAAAAGGGAATATTGCATTACCTTTTATTTCCTATAGCATCCATTCTTACCCCTTTATCAGTTTAATTATTCCCTGATTCCATTCTTCATTCACTCATTTATTTGAGAAATATTTATTGACCAACAAGTATGCCAGATCCTGTTCTATGTGTAGGGACTATAAAGTTGAACAAGACAGAGGAGGTACTGGCCTCAGAATTTACATTCTAGTAGAAGATGAGAAAGTAAAAATAAACACATGGAAACATGAATGAACTGGATATTACAGACTGTGATAGGTATAGTTTGGGTAAAGCACAGAGTGCAGTACTAAAGATAAACTGGGCTCAGAGTGGAGCTATTTTAGATGGAATGGAGATCTCTGAGGAAATGAAATTTGAGCTGAGACCTAAAAGGTCACCCAAGGACTCATGGGAAAACCCATTTGTTTGTGTCAAAATTTAGCTTCATGAACTCCAGGCCCTTGCAAATGATGGTTACCAGGTGAGAAATGTCTCACTGGCAACAGAAGTTGGCAGACCCAGCTCCAGTTCCATCCCGGCCAACATGCCAATGTCATTAAAATAAGGCCATTCATCAAGGTGGAGACTATTACTAGAAACAAGCATTCTAAAGTGCCATTCGAGTGCTAGGCCCTCAACACTGGGCATAACACTGCTCCATGTGGCTTTTGAGAGCAAGTACTGAGGCATGACCAAAAAAATTAAGTCCCATGTAAGTGATGCAACTGCTCCCCAATTACTGTGGAAGTATCTGCAGACTATTGTGCGTGTGTGTTTGTTTGCTTTAGTGAATAAATTCAGTCAACCAACCATCTAGCTATTGACTAAATCCGTTCTTTTTCTTCCAAAATAACTGTCTATTGGCTGAAGTTTACTGTTTTTTATTTCTATTTGCATACATAATTTTCTAAACCCCATTCTTATGGAACCTTCTCTAAGTTCCTCTCTATGGCCCCGTTCCATGTTCATATGGATACACACAAAGACACAAATACACCAAACTAAGTTTAGAACAGTCTGGTGCCTGCCTAAGACTTCAGTCTCATCTCCTGCTTCTACCCTCTTTAGTTTAAGAGAAACAGGTAACATTACCGAGGGCCAAGTACTGTGCTAGTAGCTTTGCATGCATTTTTTCATTTTATCTTCACAAGTTTCCTCTATCACCATAATCTGTATGTTTGACCATGGTGTTTCTTCCACCTGAAATTCCCTTGGTACACTGCCTGGGAAACTGTTACTCATTCTTCAAATCTCAACGGAATAATCTCCTCCTCTGGAAAACTCTCCTTATTTCCCTAGGAAGAAGTAATCCCTTCCTCAGTTCTGCTTTGATTATAACTTTATAAGCACCTGTCACTCTGCATGGTATTAATCCACTGTCATGTCCATTTCCTCCACTGGGATGTAAATTGTTTATGGGTAATAATTAGGCTTTGAATCATTTTATGATGTGGCCTAAGACAGTGCTTGGCACATACTATGGGTTCATCAGATGATGGCTGAGTAGAATTAAATTGAATCAAGTTGAAGTTATCATTTTGATGTTTATCAATTAACATGTGTAGTGTGTTAAATGGTGGTCACTAAAAACATATGTCTGCTCCCTAATTCCTGAAACCTGTGAATATAACCTTACATGTTAAGAGGAAATATGACCTTAAATGAATCTGGAAACAAGGAGCTCATCCTGGATTATCTGAGAGGGCCCTAGATGCAATTGCATGTATTCTCATAAGTGGAGAGAAACAGAAGAGGAGGATGCAATGCGACCATGTAGGCAGAAGTTTGAGTGGTGCAGTCACAAGCCAAGGAGCCCCTGGGGCCATCAGAAGTTGGAAGAAGCAAGGAATGGATTCCTCCCTAGTGTTTGGAAGGAGTGTGTGCTTGCCAACACTTTGGTTTGAGACTTCTGGCCTCTGGAACTGTGACAGAATAAATATCTGTTGTTTTGAGGCACCCAATTGTTGCTAATTTGTTAAAGCAACCCTAGAAAATTAATATAGCATCCGCAATAAAATTTCCCAAAATATACGTTCCTGTGAAATGGAAGAGTTCTAGCGATCTAATAGCATATAAGGAATCCAGAGAAGTTATACAAGTTTTTCCCTGAAAGTCTTTTTAGATTCTTTAGTGGGCTAGGGTGCATTGTGAATCCCAAAAACTTTAGCATTTTTCAGCATCTTTTATCACAGAATCCTTTCCCAACCCATGGAATTATATACTAACCTATTTTTGTAGATGTTGATATTCTGTAGAACAGAGTTTTGGGTTCTATGTGACTTAAGATCCTTCTACAATGGAACACAGTTAGGAGGGTATTTAGAGGAGGTATAGAGGGCATCAATCTTGCAATATATACTCAGGAAATTACCACAGGCAGAATAAAATGCTTTTGCAAATATTTAGTGTCTGCTTGGCACTGCTTCTCTTGGGTTTAGCTTTGCAAAATTTTCCTCAGGTATCATTTTTATTGTTGCCATGGAGCCAATTCACTTCTCAAGGCAAGTTGGTGATTGGCCTAAGGGAAACTATTGAGAAAAAATGGACAGCTCAAGATGTGGTTTGAAACATTGATGTTCTTTCTTGGTGCACTCAACTCCTCTCTCTGCTATTATTTTTCTTCTTCACTCTCCTGGAATCTCCCTCTTTCCCAGTGTAAGTGAGAGTCTAATAGCTCATGATGCAGCTTGGTTTGTTGTGTATTGAAGTAACAGTAGCTGCATTTATTTTGGCAAACCCGTCATCATTTATCTGAGGCATAACAATGGCCTCTTTATTGATTGTTTAATCCAGTTCCTGATGCTGGATTAAATAAATTAGACAACTGAAGCTCAGATAGGTAAGTGGCTTGACCTTTGTCACCTAGCAAGGCACTGTTAGCCAGACACACAATCTCACTTAGTAATTTCTGCATAGTGCCTCCTACTAGACAAGCCAAGGCCCAGGGCACTGCACTCTGCATGGGGTGGAAGTAGGTTGTAGCATTGGAATGGAGGTAGTGGTGGAATGCAGCACTCAAAGCCAAGGAGAGAACACTCAAGAATCCATACCCCCAGGAGAAGTAAAGTCAAAGGGAACCAAAATTCAAAGGCAGTAATCATCGAGAGGGACTCAGTAGTGAGAGGGAATTCATGGACAAGTGGCAGAAACCAGGGAAGTCAGGGCTGCCAGAAATTTGCAGGCAGCAGGCAAGATCCCTAGTCTTTATACAACCCTGGTCTTTCTGTAAAAGGCTGGAAAAAAATGTCTTTTTCAAACATGCGGTATTCAAATGTGCCGTAATTGTTCTGTTTTGAGAAACCAGAATGGTCTGGCTTTTGTACAGAAATAAGGAGAATATCATCTTTTGCTGCTCAATGATAAATGTATTGCCTTACCTGAGCCTGGAAGACACTGCCCTGCATGTGCCCAGTGTCTCACAATGCTTCCTATGGGCAGTTTAGTTTGGTGTGTGACCTCTGACCTCAAAGTATCTGAATGGAAAACAAAACCACACTAGTTCACGCTACCTATTCCTCTTTCCTGCAAGCAAGTACACTCAACATGCTAAGTCCAAACTGAAAGATCTGAGATATTACCCTATTTGTAAGCTAAAAAGTTAGCCTGCCATGATATGTATATATGTTGGTGTATATATACATATATTTATGTGTGTGTGTGCATACACACACGTGTGAGGTATGTAATATATATATAACTTTATATCTGACCAGGTTTTGCATGCCATGTTCTCACAAAGCAACACAATGAGGGCTTGATGTCATTGCACGTGCAGTGGTGTTGGCTCCACAGGAGAAGAAGAGCTCTGAAGTTATAAAGTTTGGAAGTTTATGGGACATCCATCCATGTTTTGTTCTGGAAAGAGGAAGAAAGAAATACTTTACTCTGGAATGGGAAAAAAAATATTTTTGTGGAGAAGAGGGGAGGGTTTTTATTTTACCACCCTAGACTATAAACAAATGGTTTCAGGGACAGAAAAACCCTGAGGTCTCTATCTTTAGGTTTAATACTATGGTCCAAATATGTGTGTATCCTCAAAATTCATGCGCCAAAATCCTAATCCTAAAGTGACAGTATTAGGAAGTGGGGCCTTTGGGAGGTGATTAGAGGATGAAGGTGGAGGCTTCATGAATTGGATTTGTGTCTTTATAAAAGGGCCTGAAGGAGCTTTTTTACCCTGCCACCATGTGAGGACACAGTGAGAAGGCACCATCTATGAACCAGAAAGCAGATGCCCTAACCAGACACTGAATGTGCTGGCGCCTTGATCTTGGACTTCTCAGCCCACAGAACTGTGAGTAATAAATTTCTATTGTTTGTAAGCTACCCAGTCTATGGTACTTTCTTATAGCAGCCCAAATGGACTAACACGTTTGATATTCAATCAAATGTTCTTTGTTCAGTGTTGTTTGTTCATAAAGCTCTGACCATGAGGAAACATGAAAATATTTGTGGAACACTGTCTCCCAACACCAAAACTCATCTTCTCTCTTTTTAAAATAAAGGTATTTCCAGAACATCAATAGATGCTGGGGTAAGTAAAGGAGGGAGAGAAAAAAAATGAAAAGGGAATGAAGCTATTGTACATATGAGCAGTGCCTGGGTTCTAGTTCAATGAGCCTAAAATGCCTGTTGCTATCATGATAAGTTACACACATGTCAATGTGAACTCTCACTAACCAAGGAGAAAACTGAGATAACTATTATTATTCTCTCTCTCCTCCCCTCCCCTCTGCTCCCCTTCTTCCCTCCCTCCTTTCCTTCCTTTTCTCTTTGTTCTTTCTTTCTTTTGTTCTTTCTCTTTCTTCTTTTTCTTTTTCCTTCCTTCCTTCCTTCCTTCCTTCCTTCCTTCCTTCCTTCCTTCCTTCCTTCCTTCCTTCCTTCCTCTCTTCTTTCTGCATCAGATGGTTAACAAAATAGACACAGTCTTGGAGCAAGTCTAGAGTGGCACAGAGACCATCTGTAAGCAAAGCATCATAAAAAATTATTACTTATAATTTTATTAATAATTATGAAAGAGATACTCTTCATAATTTCATGGTACTCTTAAGAGTGTATAATAAGAAGAAAATACCTCATTTGAAAGTATTTTAGAGTTCCCAGACTTAACAGATAAAAAACACAGGACACCAATTAATTAGAATCTCAGATAAACAATGAACTGTTTAGTGTAATTATGATTCATGCAGTATTTGGGACACAGTTATTAAAAAGTTTATTCATTGTTTATCCAAAATTCAAATTCAACTGGGCTCCTATATCTTATCTGGCAACCCTATGTGTCGGGTAGAGGAGGGGGTAGCTAAAAATCTTACTCCTAGGAAGTGACATCTGAACTGAGACCTAAAGAATGAGTTGGTGTTATCCCAATTCAAAGGTTTGCGGATGGAAACAGAGGGTAAAGATAGGTAGACCAGGCAATCATGGTCAGACTGTAAAAAATAAAGGGGAAAATGGCATTCAGAAAAGCCAGAAAGATTAGGCCCTGATAGGCCAGGTTAAAGATGTCAGATGTTAAAGAGACTGGGGATGGATGTTAGAACATAGGGGCTGGGCCAGGGGCTACAATGAGGTGCCCACTGAATTTAGGCAAGTCAATTCACTTCTCTGGGTCTCAATTTTGTCATGGGTCAAATGGATGTTCAATTGTTGGAAAATGAGATTGAACACAAATTCTGAATGGCTCACTGGGAAGAACACTCAAAGTTATCTAATATGAAATCCTCAAGATACAGATGAAACTGAGACTTAGGCAAGGCATTGGCCCCAAATGATGAAAAGTGGAGAAGACTTTGGAGTCAGACAGTCTTGGGTTCAAAGCCCGGCTCTGTCATTTGCCTGCTGGGTGACCTTAGGTAACGAGTCAACCTCTCTTTGAGCCTTTACACTTCTCCAGTGTACAATGAGATAATATCTTCCTTCCTGAGTCGTCGTTAGGGTTTGTGACAAAATGAAGAGAATCATGACACTGAGCCTTGGTGCTTATCCAATGATTTGCTCATGCAGATTGGTTCTCTATTCATTATTTTAAAGAATTCTGGAAACCTTTAGTGAGAGACTAGAAGGTAAAGGGGAAGAGAAGCAAACTGTAGCTCTAGGCACACATTATGTATGTCAAACTGACCGCCAATGACTGTCCCTCCTCCCTGCTTTTATAAATAGTTGATCTGTCAGTTCTGGGGGCTCAGGGAAGAAACGAATTCAAACAACAGATGCCATGAGACTCTCAGGCTTTGAGGAGTCAAGAGCTCAAAAGCTGCTGTCGGAGAAAGAAAGACTGAGTCTTCAGGCATCCCTCACTCCCCAGATAACACTTTAACAAGGTCTTCTAGAAATAATTCGATACAAATACGTTCTATTAATTAATTAGGCAAACACTCATGAATACCTTTCATGTAGCTATTGAGCAACTTCTAATCCAGTTAGGGAAATACAGAGAAGCAAACAAATTCAACAAATACTTCTTTATTGATGGTCTCAGGAGAGTCAACTTTATTGGTGAGACTTTCACACTAGGTAAGTGAGAAGATGGCTCTAGTGGGACCTTGGAGCGTTCTTCAAAATACTCATTGAGGTTGTTTCTGATCTCAAACAGCGGCACTGACTAGCCCCATTTCCTTAATCCTGCCCAGCATATACAGCTAGTTGGGCTGTAGAACTGTTGGTGATATAATTTGTCAGTTCCCTCAAATTCACTGAGAATCAATGGTAGATATTTGCTGTGGCAGGTTAGTTTTATCAATGTCGGTTGATTTGAATTGTTTACCTAATGGCTTCATGCCAGGTAGATGGCAAAATATTTAATATAATCTTTCATATGTTAAAAGAGCACAAGAAGTATGTGCTCATTGAGCTGTTAGTTTTTTCAGTAAAGATGGATATGTATGAATCCATCCATAGCTGAGTCTACTCTTGCTTTTGCAAAGCAACTGGCCATATTAGGAAAGAAGTTG